AATGTACTATGATTTTAACCCTATGACCTTGAAGTTTGACCTAATTTTCAAAAATTTTAACATTGCTGATAACTTTTGATTAAGAGAAGATATGGCATTTACATTTGACATGTGCTTTATCTGTTTCAAGACATTTCCAATTGTATACTCTGGTTTTTGATACTTTTTTTTACATGTGCGTTACTTGTGAAAGACCTTTCGTATTGAATTGTGATATTTGACCTCATGATCTTGATCTTGAAGTTTGATGAAGTTTTGAGAAGCTATAATCTTTGCCATAACTGTTATTAATTCAATAATTTAAGTCTTTTTTGCATTATGCACAGACAAGACAGGACACACAGACAAGACAGTTACAATATGCCATAAATAATGGCATCCCATCCACGGAGACACCGAAAGCGGGAGACCACAATTATTTGAATTTGCTTGTTTTGTTTAATTTTACATTTTTACGAATTCTTTGCAGTGCTGTACTATACTTAGGAGACCGTTAATGCCTTAATTGGTCCTCTTGTTCTACTTTGTGATATTCGGCTGTTGCCTTACCTTGTCCTTTACTTAATTTTCATCGTTTAAAATGCAGCTTTCATCACGAATTTTTTCACGAAATAAAGAAAAAATCCCGTTTTATGAGAGATGCATGAAGGATTTCAACTGACGATTTATGTGCCTTCTATCCTAAGCCCAATGTAATTGTAAATTAGATATTCTTACAATACATATATGCATATGCATTATGTTGTTAAAATAATTTGAGTTTTACAGTATATTTTATGATTTCACTAATTTCTTCTTTTATTTAGATTCTAGTTTAGCCGCATATCTAGGTTAGAATCCATACTATGTGTTTTAGTAAATTTATAATCATTGTCAAGTTCCTATAGTTTTATTTACAGCAATGTAAATATTTACGTCGTGACCTATATAATATTACCATAGAAAGTTATAAAAACACACAAAAGTTTTGTAATACTTGGGAAAAAAATGCAAATAACAAAATCAAATATCCCCCTTTTTTTAAATGATATGAAAACACTTGTATACACCTAGCTACGATGCTGGAAATGCCAATAACATCATAGAAGTGACTATAATGAGGCTGTCAACCTCGTAGGTCCGACCAAATACCTTTCTATTGTGTCTTGAAACAAAGGGAAGTTCCTTTACTGTTAGAATAAGCTACGCTGGTTCCATACATGTCAGAACATTTTATTTTTCCTGTTATTCGGAGCCGATAGTTGTAAAATTCTTTATCTGTAGCATACGGTCATAATGGAAGAATAAAGTAGAATAAGATTAAAATTTCATGTCGGAAAACAAGAGGTAAGGAATAATAGATGCGCTGAATTGTGATATTAAGACAGAGTAAAGGATAGATGTGAATTAATAACCGGAATCGGCCTCGGAAATCCGAAACAAGACAGAGCGGAAGTGAGCCCAACTTGACCATTGTAAAAATCCAATCAAAAACGTTATGATCCCCTGAACATCATGTACCTGGGACTGTTTTAAAATTAATACAAAGGATTAACACCCCAGCCTTCCTTTTCTAGAAATAAATACCTGGTTTTTGTGACTAATGTATATGCAGCCGTATTACAACTGCAATCAATTTTTAAGAAGGGCTGAGTACCTAATCGCAATTAAGTCAATCATTTGAATTCATAAAGTGTTTTATATGAATGAAAATAACATTTCCTTTCTGAATTCATTTATTCGTCTTTCGCAGTAAGTTAATTAGTACGGATTTGTATTGAAGTAAACAAGAACAGCGTCACTGTCAAATTATCAAGGACTGAATCAAATATATAGCGGGAAGATACATGTATTTTTCTTCAATTTTTTTTTTTGGCAAGAAACATCAGTCTTTATTGTTGAACCATTCTGGTGTAAGATAGCAGCCTCAATGAATCATAAATTTTAACCATTATGAAAATATCGGTAGTATTTATTATTTACATTTTTAAATGATGCCTCAGTGAAAATGAATTTCATCAAACGCCCATCATCCCTTTCATCGCAATTCTGTCTATTTTTGCAACGCATCTCCCCCTCATGAAAAAGTATTTTGACAATCGATTTTTTTAAATTCATGGATATTGAGTGTTGACATTGGAACTGTTTCCGTGTCCCCTCCCAGGCCGTCACCGGGTTTCCGGAAATGGTGTACGGGGAGGGTCTAGCCCTCCCTTAAGCAGCATTTCCTACAATGGGTACCATTTGGTGGGTCCTGGTGCGTATTAATTTGTTTCAAAAATATTTTCGCGTTTATTAACTTAATGCACCTCACTTTCGACGGTCCTCCCTCCCTCGGTTGAAATAAGTTACTGTCCTGTAGCCTTTATAGTAAAGGGGGGTGGGGTGGGGTGGGGATGGGGTATAATATTCCACAGTGTTCCAAACAAAGTATCACTCTGTAAAACAGGGTATGTATACATATTATATTTACTGCAGAGATATTCGTTAATTTACATGTTTCGATGTGAAGGAGGATAAATATTGTTTTCATCTGGGCTTTGTGACTACATGTATTTCAAATCTCAATAGCAAAGAAAGAAAAAAAAAAGATTATATTTAACGTTAATTTAAAAGTATTGCTTATAACACGTGTTTTAATATTTCAAAAGATTTATCGTTTTGAGAAGACTTTAGACTTAATTCACCTCTGATTCATTCCATTTTACGATTTTTGTTAAAATAAATGACCTGTAGAGAAGATGAAGCCCTTTAAATAAAATGAATCTCAGATTATGACGTTTTACAAATTCGTAAAAAATGAACGATGGACAGCCATCTATCAATTTCTTTTCAAATCTGTCCGCGCGTATTCTGGACAATACGACTTAATGTCACAATCTTCGTTAGATATAATTTATATTTTGCGAAAAATATGATAATTATGATGAAATGGGCAGGTGTGTTTATTTCCTTTGCCCTAAAAAAAAGACAAATCAAAAACAAAGACAATTACATGCTGGCCTATCAAAATTCTACTCAATCATTTTCATATGAAAGCAATAGCGTTCATGTTTAATGCTTTAAAAAAGATGGCGATTTAATCTTAATATCTTCGTGTTGTTTTCTAACAATATACAAATTATGCATGAAATTGTTTTTCTTTCATATGTTTTATGAATATCCGCCTACACGAGAATTAATACTTTGCATTGAAACTAAAACCGGTCCCTAGTTTTATAAAGCAGTTTTTGAAGACTTTTTTTTTAATCTGAAATTTTACACCTTACAAAAAGGCTTAAACAAGCGGAATCCCCGTGTGGTACATATCTATCATTTTTCCGTCATAAACGGTACTTTTCTCTACGCAAATCACGATCCATTAATTCACAATGACATAAAATAAAAGAAAAAAGATGATGTCAAATATAAAATATCCTCAATCAAGCCAATTATACAATCACAAATGGCGGGAATCTCAGGTGTGAAATCTCCAAACAGAAAAAGTTAATCAATGCATTATCAAACTGACAAAACCGCACGCATCAAGTTACTAAAAGACTCACTTGTTAATAATCTGTAAATATGGACTTATTCAAATTTAACAGTGGTTGAAAATGCGGTCGAAGAAATATAAATTTTCCATTTCTATTGTTTGAATTAGCTGATAATGTGTTTGGTTATGCGATATCGGTTTTTAATTAACGTTTGTTTATTTTCGGGTGTTTTGTGTTTTAAGGCAAAGCGAGATCATTATTCATATAAAGTGTTTTAGAAAATGGTGGGAAAGCAAAGATGATGTGCTTCACAGTGTACAGCGCATTAAAAGAGAAAACTCTAACAATTGTAAGATAGGAGCAGTCGTCGGGTTGTTCATTCATTGAAGTCCCGGTAATAATATTTGTATTGTTCTATCCAGCTCTACCTAAACTGATTTGTTTTCAAGCAATTCCCCTCTATAAATCTCCCGAGATCATGAGGATGCATTATTTTAAAAGATTTTTATATTCATTTTAAATTATCCATTAACATGACAAAAAGAAGAGTTAAAGCCTCGACCAAAGGCCCACTTTGGTTATTGACATGTCTAATGTATCTGTGGAGTGATCATTTTCTTAGACAAAAATCCCAAGGTGAAAATGCAATGCTTTACAATATCCTGTTTTTCACCCCCATTCAATCAGAATGGTGAATATCAAAATGATTATTCTATAAATACTATTTTGCTTGATATATATTTTTATAATAAAAATTCTGATGGAAATAATGTATTTAATCTCCAGCAATCATATCCCACGGTAGACAACTAGTATTCATTATACATGTAGTTCACATTTATGTATGCACAACAAAAACTCATTCTTTGTTAATATACATATACCATAATATTGTACAATCCCAATATTCAAATAAAATACCACTTAAGTTGTAATGCATTTCTTCATGACCAGAGTTTAAAATGGCAGTTACTGAATTTCTAAAACCACTTACTGTTAATCTTAAGTATGAATTTTTATTGTAATACATACATACTCCAATATCAATATCTCAAAACATATGCTATGGAAGGACCCTTAGTGTTAAATCTTTCAATTAAATTTTTATCAAATAATTTAGGAAAAACAGCATCTTATCATTCTCGTACAGTTTCTCCCCTACCCCATTTCAGAACTTTTTCATAAAATTAAATTGTCACAATTTTTCAGTGTGAAATTATAACAAGGGTCAAAATTTCATAAATTAGCATAACTATTAAAATAATTTCGAAAGTAAAGTTATTTTATGTTAAGTCTTTGGTTTTAATAAAGGTTGATTTCCAATGAACCAGTGTTCTAACCTTATTAAAGGTGTAAACTTATTTCAAAATGCCATTTTCAAACAACTTTCCTAGTCTGAACTATTCTAAAATTTATACAGATAAATTTTACATTAAGAATCATGTTGGGGGGGGGGGGGGGGGGCACTTACTCCAGTTATGCAACTTGAGAGAAAATGCATAAATGAAATACACACCAGCAAATATTTTTTTAATGTTTTATTCATTCACTTTTAATTAGACATTTTTATCTTTGATATTTCATTAAAAAATAATTAAGAATATATCCATGTAGTTCAATATACATGTAATTAGGTACATTAAACCACACAAGTAAGATAATCTGACTTCCAAAATGTTTCTCGATTCAAATCAACTTTTTTCCAAATGTTCATTGTGTTGTGTCTCAGATTTTACATTAAATGGGGTTTCTATAATGTCAGTATTTTACTGTAGTTACTAGTTAGAGGGACTAGCAACTGTCCATATAATGATTTCTTGAGGCGTTTTTGAACATGGCTTTTTTCTAGTCCTGTTTTTCCTATTCTCTCTTGGATCTTTATGTTGATTTCCATTTCTTAAGCCTATTTCAAAGTTTCAAAAGTATTCAACTATCTTCAGTAACAGTCTGCATTCATTCTGACACTTATACGAGTTTGCTTGCTATCTGAAGCTGTCTTTCATGTGCTAGCTGGCCTTGGCTTTCTTGGCGAGGGGTTCTGGTGGTTGGTTTTGGGCTTGCTTGATGCGATCTTCCTTTTTCTGAAGGTAAATAGAGTAATTATCTGGTGTCTCCTTCTTCTTATAATCCAATGACAAGTCTGGTGCCATTTCTGAAGCTGAAGTAAAACAATAACTTTGTTAACCTTCCTAATTCTTAAAGCTTTATTATTATATACATGTACTTCAAGATGAGGTTAAACACAAAAGCAATTTAATTTAAAAACTATATTTTATATTCTTGTACTCAGTGGACTTTAGCATTTTTATCAAAATACTGAATATTTTCAGGTACAAAAGCCAAAAATATAATATATATATATATATATATATATATATATATATATATATATATATATATATATATGGATGCACACACACATATGAACCCCAGACTCACATAATATGAGCTGATATTGATATAAACTTTTCTCTAGCTGTTATCCTACTAAGTTTGACAAACCTTTGAAAAATTCCCAGTCCTTATTGAACATGTCTAACACCTTGTTTTCTGCACAAGGATGAGTTGAATCTATCTGTTCCACCTTAAACAAACAATGGATTCGTGATTAATTGGATCCTACTGTTAGAGGTCCTTGAGTTAAAAGTTTATTAAATTGCCCATGTGTTGTTGACAAAGATCTGCTCATCAACACATAAAGCCATCCTGACATTAGTTGTATCCAAATACTTAAATGAGAAATGGTTGACAGTGCTAATCAGAGGAACAGCTTACAATCGTGGATTTAGGAGCAGTGGATAAGAAACTGTTTGGTGACAGATATTTACCTCTTCTTGAGATCAATATTCATGTATCAAACGATGCTAGAAATTCATGTATAATTAACAGCTGGTGCTCTCTTTAACCCTCTATCTTTTGCTCTTGCTTTAAAGTCTTGATGCACATAATTGGTCATTTCTGGATTCAAAATTTTTTAAATTTTGTTCTGAAAAGGATCTTGTACATTTGAAAGGACTGTTGTACATAAATTTATTTTTTTAAAAATCTTTTGAAATGAAATTTCAATCATTCGATCCATAAAACAGAAAATATTTTCTTCCAAGTATGATTGAAATGAAAAAAAAAAAATCCTAGGAAACTGCAGACTGCATATACAATGTACTGAAGTCCAACTTTTACTAAGTGAAGAATATATTTCAATTAAACCCTCTTGAACTACTTCAAATCAATATGGAAACAAAGTCACTCTTTATTTATGCAAGATATCTGGCATGAGTTGCAGGAAGACTCATTACTTTAACTGAGAGTTAACTCACTGGACCTCAAAAATTAACTGTTTTAACTGAAAGATAACAATTAACTCATGCAGCCTTTTGTGCAACTGGACCAAGGAAATACAGTCAAACCTCATTATCTCAAACTTGATGGGACCAAGAAAAAACTTCGAGATATCCAAAGATTTGAGATATCAAGGGTAAATACTTAAAGAATAAGAGGTTAGGACTTCTAAATCACTCCAACATATCCATGGTACCGGGTATTTGAGATATGGGTGTTCGAGATACTGAAGTTCAATTGTACATTATATTTTTCCTGTCTTTCTTTTTCTTTTTCTTTTCTTCTATTTTTTTTTTAAATTCTGAGAAAAATGTCCACAAAAAGAATTAAAACTTTTTCCACAATACTTCAAATGGTGTAATCCATGAATATCTGAAGTTTGCAGCTACACTGAAAAATATGCTAATGAGGATTTACTGAACTTAGAAACAAATTAATCAAAGGTGCAGTTTACATTTTAAGTAATTTTACATTTCAATATATTCATAAAAATGATTTATTTTCCAGTACTATACTTTTATTTGAAAAAAAAAGATGCTGCATTATCATAACAGATCCATGACCAGACAGCTTGTCTAAAATCAATGATTAATCCTGACCTCAGCTGGCATTTTTTTTAACCATTACATGAGTTATGGTTCTTTAAATTCTAAACTGAAAAATGTTGCAAATGGATCCTTTGCTGTTGTGTGTAATTTCATTAACACTATACACACAACAGTAATTAATAATCACAAGATTTTTTTGCAGTTCTTTATCAAATGTTTTTGTACATAGCACTTATAGAGATATATGTACACAGAGTGATTATAAATCAAACTACGAAACATCCTATTATTGCATGTGGACCTAGAACAAGGGATTTGGTGAGTATAGGTACACACAGGTAATGTGTAATTAGGGGTTAATCTAGAAGAAATTTGTAACTCAAAGAATAAATAAATATATATGATGCAACATGAAATGCCATATTTAAGGATAAAATCTCTACAGTCCAATAATTCTAAAAATGATTTAAGCAAATGTCATCTCAACTGGAAAATCATATCCTTATCTAGAGGTTCTACATAATTACCTTTAATTCCCCAGCTGACTGTGTTCTTTGACATGTGTAGACCCGTACTGTGTCCCCCTCCTGCTTCTGTAGTAACCAGAGTTGACCTTTACAGTCAAAAGCTGAGTCCCACACTGCGCTGGTTAGTTGTAAATCCTGAAGGTGACATAACACTCCAGAACCTGGGATCACTGTGTATAACTGTACAATGGGGGAACTGAATAAATAAAGATATTAAAATACTATCTTATATAAATACCGCATGTAGTTGAGAGTAACATTGAAAATTTTCACCCCAAGAAAACCCTTGTCAACCGAGGCACAGCCGAGGTTGACAATGATTTTCAAGGGGTAATTTCAAATTTTCAATGTTACCCTCAACTACATGCTGTATTTATTATATTATACTGAACGTTTTATACAAATAAATATAACACTGAATTGTGTGTGCATAAATTCTGCGTAGTCAATATTTTTGGGAATATCACACATCATCAAGCAATATTGACTGTTGCTACGCTGGAGGGCGTGGTTTCATCATTCAGAGGGCAAAAGTGTTTTTTAACAAATGTTTCTCAATGAATCAGATTCAACTAATTTACATGAAAGTATAATATTATGAACTCTTTCCCAAGAAGAATACAATTATTAATCCATAGATAAAAAATCTTGTGTACTTCATAGATGGCCATTGATAAACAAAATGATTCCATATTTATAAATATGATATGCAGCTTTAGGAATCCAGACAGAAAGACTGAAACTTTGAAAAATGTTTTTTCATTCACTGGGAGACCCAGAAGTTTTCAATGTCAGGCCATCATAAAAAATATCTTTGTTTCTCCTAACCCGACCCTAGAATCTCAAGTTGGGTAGGTAGGTAGGTAAATTATTTTTTTTTTCTGACAGCAGCTTTGAAAATACATTCTGAAATTTAATGGACTTATACCTTTATAAGTAAAGAAAGGTACAAAAGAAAAGCGATTTGTAATTAGATTATCATACAAATGCCACTTAAAAGCAAAGTTTTAGGTAAATTAATACACAACTATATTCAGTTGAACTAGTGAAATATCTCACGCCATGCAAAGTAAATTTATTGAATTCGAATATTTGATAAGACAAGATTCTCAGATACGCAAAGACCGGACATTCAAGTATATTTTTCAAATCGGTGCTTACACATGCAATATACTTATTCAAGGGCCTCGAATTGTGCAGTGGTTTTAGATCATTTCGTTTTGGAGTCCTGAAGTAAGGAGCTAATTCTAAGCCACAGGTTCAAATCCCAATGCGGGACGTTGAGACCGGTCCTTCGAATGATAGCATAAAAACTTAGGTCTAGTGTCGCAGGAGATGCTGGAAGGAAAAAGATCTATCACTGCTCAATGGCCAAAATTAAAGTGTCGATTACAAGTCTAAATTTGGAGACCTTCACTGGGCAAATGTTCAAATGTTTTCATCCCAACAATTCTAAAATGGATTTAAAACAAAGAACAACCAATCTTCAAGGGCCTAAGTAAAAACATAATACATCAGTCTGCATGTATCATGAAGCTGTATCATGATTACCAAAACTATGTGGAAAGAGTATGGAAACAATATTTAATTGAACCAAACCATATATTAATTTGATGAAAATACCATACAATGTCAAAGTCACGAAGTTTAATCCATGAATAAAACTTAAGGCATAAAGAAAGGACATCTGAATTATTTTCACGGGATGAAATATGCAACTGCATACATATTTACAACAACTCCCACGGTCCCGTATAGTAAACGTAGGAACATAGATGAACTGTTTATTAGATCAAAACTCTAATTAAATAATTAAATAATATGTAGTGAAATTGATTGATGTGTTCACAAGGTAACGGGCCCCTCGTCTGCTCTTGAGGCGGGCCTTACCATGCTTACTACGTACCTTAATTTTAAAAGACAGGTTTGTAAATACCACCGAAACACTCTTAGTCATGGTAAATTTTATTAGCAAAATGTTTCAAGAGTGTGGGATGTTAAGAAGCTAAAGGCATAAGGTTGATACGTGGCCGTTTTTTAATAACACGAACTGTGACCACATGTTGTGGCCACCATTTTGTTTCCAAGAAATGCTTGCAAATCACAATTAAGAACAAAATCTGCCTTCTGATAAAAACAAATTTTAATGATATTGTACTATTTTATAAAAGTTGATAAACACTTATTAAAAAAAAATATTTGAATTATCTTATTAAAAAAAACTTTTCAGTCGGTGCAATTTAATTGGGTCGGTCGCGTTAGGGGAAACAAAGGTATTTTTTTATTTTGGCCTCAAAAGATGAATACAGTAATGTATTTCATAAATACAATTTTCTCCATTTTCTCTAGTTTAGTCTTATGAAGTCAATGTCAATGATTTGCTTTACTTACTTGAAGAAAATCACTGATAACAACTTTAAGTTCTTTTCAAAAACTATTTTCTTAATTGCAAGAGTTGTTTCCCCTTTGGAACAAAATGTTTGAGAAAGCACTTGACCATCAACATTCCACACTACCATGCTACCATCCTGTAAAATAGAAAAAAATCAGACTATTAATAATTCTGACTAATAAACATGTTCTGTTTTAAGGGAAAAGGTACCATCATTATCAACACATTTTTTGTTAATATCAGCAGCATTTTTGGAAATTTTGTTTTGCTGTAAAATGTGCTATTATGATAATTCTGCTTGTAACTTAATCATTTGTAATCAATAAGTCTATTTTTTTTTTTTTTATTAGAAGAAAGATTTCTTTACTATGGAATGTATACATGCTTGGATTTGATTTAAATATATTTTATTGTAATAAAATAAACACCTCCTTCCCTGTATTTTGGAGGTAGACATTTTAAAAGGGGATAACGGAGTTTTTCAACAACAAAATCATAAATGAAATAAGATAGTTGTGAATCAAGACACAAAATAACCAATTTTAAAACTTTTTTTTTTTTTACAGAAAATGGTACCGGTACATTGTTTTATGTGAATGCTTTTTAAGGTGCTATATTTTTTTTGTGTGTTTAATGTTACTTTTCTTTAAAGAGGATGAATTTAACATATAAAACTTTTATATATATACAGAAGGATTAAAAATCAGAATTAATCAACTGTACAGTTTATACATAAACTTTATATTCAATATATATAGCATTTTTCCATATGAAAAAATGCAAATGAAAAGATATATAGACATGAGATAGGTAAAATGGTTATATACGGATGTATGCAATATATGTTCATCAACTGAAGTTAAAATACTATTATAAAAATATACTATAATATCAGATCTAATTGAATTAAAAATGTTTTCAAATTTAAAAAAAAATGCAGTTAGATAAAAATAAATTAAAAAAAAATATTTAAAAGCATCATATTGCAATGTATTTGATAATACATGTATTAATAAAATTAATCACAGTCAAAATATTTTTATCATGATATGTAATCACATGAATAGACAAATGATAAAAAATCCTAAATTACTTTGAGTTTGAATGTCTCCCTTTCATTATTTAAGTTAGAAGTATTTGCCCAGATACAGATCAACGTTATGTTCTCGGCACAACTGAGTCAATTCCAGCCATACAGGACTTCATTCCTCCCGCTTTCCAACTCTCCATAGATTCTCATGTTGCTTCACCAGCTCTAGTCAGTTCTCGTTTAAAAAGTTTAAGTATGACTTCATCATATGATTTTCTAGACCAGCGCTGCAGTTCAAAATACAGAGGCAAACACCAAAGATGTGTGTTGGATCTTAAATCCTCAACATCCTCACTTAATGCGTAACAATTGTTCCCTATATCAACAACACAGAGTTATATACGAGAGAGCTTCTCTAGCAGGTTGGACCAAGGATTCTTATATAACATTATTATAAAAAAAAGAGAATATTTTATACTGATTTTAACACAAGCATGTTTTTTAAAACCATTTTTAGAATTGAAATCAGTCTTGAAATAGATAAGGAAACTTTGCTTTGTCTAAATTAAACACACCCGCGTGTGAAGAGTTAACATCCTTTGTAACTATATGCGTAAAAATGTACAGATACATGTAAATTAAAGAGGTTCGTTCCTGAGCTTTTGAGCAGATTTTTGTCTTGACCTCTATTTAAAAAATTCTGCATAATGTTTCAGTTCTTACAATGAATTTGGATTCTACAATGCTAATTAAACTATATTCAATTAAAACCCCATGATTAAATTACCATTAAGTGAAGAACTGTGTTTTGTGGTGGAGTTTTTTTTCTCTCAAGAAAATGATCAAATTTTCTCTTTCCAAATATTTACAGTAATGTTAAGTTTGGGTTCCTATTTTTAATTGCAGCCTGCACACAGAGTTATTTTGTGCAGTGAAATGTTTTATGCTGGTCCTTAATTATATTAAATTAACTTTCATGAATTCTATCATCATATTTGACAAATATAGCAAATATTGTGAAAGACCTGGAAAAAAACCCCCAATTTTAGCTTAAAATTATCACTGTTTTAGTATATATCTAAAAATAACATCACAGACCCCCACTTTTAATTTTCTTTTCTGAATACATAACATAATTTTAACCATTCTGCTTAAATCAGACAAGAGGCCCAGGGGCCACATTGCTCACCTGAGCACTATGGCTAGGAAAAAGCAGAAATCCGTTTAGTCATGAAAGGTTTAAAAGTTTAAATGTAAAAGTTGTTCGGGGGGGGGGGGGGGGGGGGGGGGGGAAGGTCATGAACAAATTTGAATGTACACTATCTGAGGATGCTTCCATTTAAATATGACCAATCATGGCTTTGCTGTTCTTCAGTAGAAGATTTTTAAAGATTTAACCTATGTATGCCTATGTAAAACTTTGATCACCCATTGAGGCCCCACCTGACCCCCAGGGGTCATGTTTGAACAGACTTGAATGTACACTATCTAAGAATGCTTCCATATAAATATGACCAATCATGGCTTTGCTGTTCTTAAGAAATAGTTTTTTTAAAATATTTTTACTATGTGTTCCTATCTAAAACTTTGATCGCCCATTGTGGCCCCACCCTACCCCCGGGGGTCATGATTTGAACAAATTTGAATGTACACTATCTGAGGATGCTTCCATTTAAATATGACCAATCATGGCTTTGCTGTTCTTCAGTAGAAGATTTTTAAAGATTTAACCTATGTATGCCTATGTAAAACTTTGATCACCCATTGAGGCCCCACCTGACCCCCAGGGGTCATGTTTGAACAGACTTGAATGTACACTATCTAAGAATGCTTCCATATAAATATGACCAATCATGGCTTTGCTGTTCTTAAGAAATAGTTTTTTTTAAAGATTTTTACTATGTGTTCCTATCTAAAACTTTGATCGCCCATTGTGGCCCCACCCTACCCCCGGGGGTCATGATTTGAACAAATTTGAATGTACACTATCTGAGGATGCTTCCATGTAAATCTGACTATTCATGGCTTTGCTGTTCTTGAGAAGAAGATTTTAAAGATTTTTCCTATATATTCCTATGTAAAACTTTGATTGCCCTTGTGGCCCCACCCAACCCCCGGGGGTCATGAATTGAACAAACTTGAATCTACACTACCTGAGGATGCTACCATATAAATGTGACCAATCATGGCTTTGCTGTTCTTGAGAAGAAGATTTTTAAAGATTTTTCCTATATATTCCTATATAAAACTTTGATCGCCCATTGTGGCCCCACCCGACCCCCGGGGGTCATGATTTGAACAAACTTGAATCTACACTATCTGAGGATGCTTCCATGTAAATATGACCAATCATGGCTTTACACTACCTGAGGATGCTTCCACATAAGTTTCATATTTTCAAGCACAGTGGTTCTTGAGAAGAAGATTTTTTAATGATGCCATTAATTTTTCACGAATTCTTAATTATCTCCCCTTGGAAGAAGGCTCTTCGTTTGAACAAATTTGAATCCCCTTTACCTAAGGATACTTTATGGCAAGTTTGGTTGAAATTGGCCCAGTGGTTCTGGAGAAGAAGTCGAAAATGTGAAAAGTTTACAGACGGAGAGACAGACAGATGGACAGATGGACTACAGATAAAATGTGATCAGAAAAGCTCACTAAAAAATGTCATTACTTTCAAATGATTTTATTGCTTGTTAGATTTTTAATGCCAGAAAAATGACATTTTTTGAGTGCAGGAAGGTCAAATAATTGACTATGTGAGGTAATTTAAAACTTTTTTATGTTCCCACAAAAAAAAAAAAAACTATTCAAGATGAAAAAAAAGACTCACTGTGTCTGTTCCCATAATTTATTTGGGTAAAAAATATGAGAGGAAAAACTGAGAAAAATTGATTTATGTGTTAGACGTAATTACAGTGCAAAAAGGTTATATTAAGTGCTCCATAGCGCCAAAAGAAGCACAATGACCCCTAACGAAGATTTTTAAAGATTTTTCCTATATATCTCAATGTAAAACTTTGATTCCCCATTGTGGCCCCACCCTACCCTCGGGCTCATAATTTGAACAATTTAGAATCTACAATACTCCAGGATGCTTCCATATAAATTTCAGCTTTCTGGCCCAGTGGTTCTTGAGAAGAAGATTTTTAAAGATTTTTTTGTAAATATTTCAATGTTAAATTTTGATTCCTTACTGTGGCCCCATCCTACCCCCAAGGGTCTTGATGTGAACAACTTAGAATCTACACTACTCCAGGATGCTTCCGTATAAGTTTCAGCTTTTCTGGTCCTGTGGTTCTTTAGAAGAAGATTTTTTAATGACCCCACCTTATTTTTGTCATATCTTGATCATCTTCCCTTGTAAGGAGGCTTGGCTCTTCATTTCAACTGCCCTTCACCCGAGGATGCTTTATACCAACTTTGGTTAAAATTGGCCCCGTGGTTCTTGAGAAGAAGTTGAAAATATGAAAAATCTACAGACAGATGGACAAACGACGGACAACAGGTGATCAGAAAAGCTCACTTGAGCTTTCCGCTCAGGTGAGCTAATAATTATATGCAGCTAGAATAATAGTATACAAGAATAGTCATTTAAATCTACCAGAATGTTGAATATATGAATGTACAATAGAAATAAAATTCATTTTAAGCAATACCGAGTGAAGTGTCAATGATACGAACTTTATAAAATCTCAAAAACTTGTTAGAAAAATCTTTTCTTGCATCAATATGATTAGGACATGAGAAAAAATTGTGATGTGCATCTTCTATCTTCCCTCAAGAGCATAATGGACTAGATATAATGTTACACCCATAAGATCAATATTTAGTGCACAGCTAAGTTGAAGTCTACTGTGCAGTATAATGGGTTTTTTTCCCAAAACTGAAATGCTGTTATTTTTTTACTTTTACTTTTTTTACTTTTAAAAGCAGAGATAAGAAAGATGCTGGGATCTAGAAGGGGGTTCAGGACCACCCATCCCTACCTTTTGGGATTTCAGAATTATCAAATCGTTAAGTAACAAAAAAATTACTTTGGAACCCACTAGAAATCAAAGATCACTGGTAAAATGTACGGAGATTGAATCATATATATAAAGGAAAGCGACTTGTAAGCCCCATCCCATCACCACCACGAAATAGGTAATTAGGATTTGGACAAATTGTTTATTTTTTTGCTTGTCAGATTTCTTTTTAGTGGGTGTGGACTCCCCCCCCCACCCCCCCACCCCAAAAAAAAAATTTAAAAAAAAAAACTCCTGGATGTCCAGTTTATAAAAATTCAATTCATGTACAGAACAATTATGTAATCTTGCTTCAATCAGAGCTTCTGGATGGTTTTTCCAACACAAATATTAATAAAAAAAGTTCTGAAAAATCTTTTTTTCTGTCACTGAAATAGTCAATTACAATTTCACAAAAATATGTAACACAAAACCCACACCTCAATTTCTTTAAATGTTAATTTGTAAATGTTATCAGATTTCAATTCCAAGAAGAGTACATTAAAACTAAATACAATATCTTTTTTTTTTAACATGTGAAGTAAAAAAAAATCATACAGATATCATTTATCGTCCATTTATGAAAATAAATCCTGCAATTATTTCTATATTTGAAAGAAAAAACAATTCAAATTTCTGTTTGCATAAAACCTGATTTATTAGGCAATATAATTTTCAGGTAACATAAGAAATTAATTGCCTAAGCAAAATGCATGTTACTTGATAGTTTGACCCTGCCCTGAATTTGAACAAAAATTCTATGAAGCTTATCTTTTCCTCAATCTGAAACACACTTTTCTCCAATTAGCCTGATCCAATTTCAGCAAACTCTAATCACTCAAAAAAATATATTGTTGTGTAAATTAATAGATGCAATTAATATGAAAGCAGACCTAGTTGCATTATGTGACAAAACCCCAAATACCGCTAATTTGTTCTAATCGTAGGAGTCATTCATAGGTTTGACCACAATGAGTCGATCACCACGGTGATACATTAGTGGAATAATGCTGCGAGATGTTGCCACCGTTTATCAGAAGGAAACTCTATACAACTGATGTGACACTGCACATTGTGTCCTGGATTTGGCAGACAATTAGTTTGGCCATACAATTCAATGTTTAAACAACTCAAGGAAAATACTCTTATCTAGATCCATATAAGGCAGCATCTGGACCACCAACATCATTGCTTATTACCCTTCTTTTATATAACAATTCTAGGCAAGGTCTTAAAATTTTTAAAATTATTTTTAACAATAAAGAATTCAAGCTTCCCAAAATTAACCTTTGAGATAGTTTTCTGTTCCAAGTTGTGCACTTGGTCAATTAAAAAAAAAATAATGAAGGAGAAAACATTAATAATACCAAAATGATTAGTATCAACACTTCATCCAAAAAATCACATTTTCTCAATAGTATTGAAGGTAAAAAGAGACCCTAGTTAATTTTTTTTTCCTCCAAGACCCTCCTTCATAATGTAAATTCACAGCTCTCAAATATCATTTATGCTATTGGTATTTAAGTATGTACATGTACTTTGAAATAATTTAATCTATTAAACAATTTCTTGTTGTATAATTATAGCTTTTTATTATACTGAACTGGAAAAAAAGCTGAACACTTTATATAAAAATTGACCTGAATTCTCCTTTACCAGGAAAAAAAAAATAAACATACAATTAATAAATCAAATCTTAAAACATGCATCTGATTGTCAAGAAGTAAATGTTGCACATGTCTGACTGCATGGGGATAAACATCTGTTTTCGTATGTCATAAACAGGCTAATTTTGTAACAATACGTTTATTCACTAAAGATTAGGATCTTGCTTACAGCATCACACTCACAGATATAATTGTAGATATTAAATTATCTGATGCAGTGGGTGGATGAAAATTAAATTATTGTTCGGGAGTAAAAACATTACAACCACCAATGCGCTGCATTGTGCAGCCAGTGCAACATATTGCTTGTGAGGGACAATGCAACTGTAACATGATCAGTAGACGCAAAAGTCCCTTTGGTAAAATAAATAAAACCCTTGTATCACAAATACTTATGATTGATTATCCTCCCCTCCAAAGCCACAGTGTGCTGACGGCTACTTTACAATGTGAGACATTTCTACAGGGGCACATAGTATCTCCACTACCACAGCAAGTTAAAAAATTAATCTTTGACCGCTAACTTTTTGTTGACAATAGTGTGATTTTATAATCTGTTCGCCATACTGTATTTGGTTAAGCTTGTATCTAATACTCCTCTCTCAGTCCCTGTATTACTTCCATGGAGAATCGGATCTGTTTTTTGATACACAAGACTTAACTCTGAATTCAAAATGTTTTATGTAGAATTGTTCAAATCAGGGACTGTAAAAATGGTAATCAAGATTAAATCACAAGTATAAGGCACATAAGCCATAGAGCACTGGTAGTGGATTAGTCCCATTGTACCCTGTAGTGATGAGAATTTAACAGAGTGAGTGAAAGATATAGGGGTTTGAATCCCTAATCGGTTTCCCTCTTTTTTTCCCATTTTACTGGTGCCATGCACCCTCCCGCATCCCAGAGACTCTTAAAAACCTCAAACAAGGCAACAAAAGAGTCAATATCATATTTATCTCCAGGGGAAAACACCTTAAAGATTTGAGGAATGCAATAGATGTGGCAGGGTTGATTCTCATGGCAACCAGCAGCTCAGTGGGACAAACATCTGCAGAATATGGTGAGTCCAGGGTTTGAATCCTGGTCTGTTTCTACATCTTCTCTTTTTTTAGTAACACCTTACCAGTAATACCGGTACATGACCATAAAATCAATGGTAAGGTGACCAAAAACAAAATGGAGAGGTACATACCCCACTTCCTGAGATAATGGTATCCTGGTCTTCATTGTATACAAGACTGGATACATACCTAAAAAGAGGATGTTAATGACATTTATCTTTGTTGAAAACTTCACAATCTGCTTAACTTCAAATCCACTTAATAAAATCTTGAATGTGTTGATAGATAAATGTTTACTGTACACACATTTTGAATGCTTATTTAGAATCAAGGATCAGAATGAATGGCAGCCAAGTCTATATTCCCTGTAAGTATACATTTACCTTTCGAACAATGTCATATAAATATCAAAGAAGGGTAGCTATGACTTTAGGCATGCAAAATGAAGGCCTAAGAATTATAGAGGATCACAAGGCATGATATATACAGGTAAATATAAAATTTGATCACTGCTTTTTACTTGAGGACCAGAATCCTTTTCCATACTAAGACAACTAACGTATTAGTATTCTCACATTGTGCAATGAATTCACAATGCATAGCCACTGGCTATTTTCATAAATAAGCAATTTTCACCTACTTATACATACCCTGTGTCTGGGCAAATTTCAAAGGGACCAAATACTTTCAAGTGCAAAAGGGCAAAAATAACCCTATCTATAGTACACAAATCTACAATATACATACTTGGTGTGATGTAGACAAAAGCTGTGGATGTTGTAACTGTTTGATACTTATTTGGTGTGATGTAGACAAAAGCTGTGGACATTGTAACTGTTTGATACTTACTTAATGTGGATGTTGTAACTGTTTGATACTTACTTGGTGTGGATGTTGTAACTGTTTGATACTTACTTGGTGTGATGTAGACAAAAGTTGTGGATGTTGTAACTGTTTGATACTTATTATTAGTGTACCGTAGACAAAAGCTGTGGACACTGTAACTGTTTGATACTTACTCAGTGTGATGTAGACAAAAGCTGTGGATGTTGTAACTGTTTGGGTAGTTGCTTATCCTTATTTTGTTGTCCCTATCTGCAGTCACTACATACTTATCTCCCTTTGTAGTCAGCTGAAAATAAACAGAAAGGTCCCTTTTACACATTTTTAGACATTTACTGCAGTTTCAGATTTTTTTTGGGGTCATATCAGAATGTGATTTTATTTAATAAAGCAGTATTAAGGTATCATTAGAGCAATACAAGTTCCCTAACAATGCCTAAGTAATTTCTGCTGAGGAGTCATTATAACCAAGAACTGTTATCCCTATTGTTCTTTCAAATGTAAATACAACATTTAATTATTTTCTGGCAAAGACAGTTTTGTGAAAGAAAGCACGTAACTTCAGTGGTAGTGCTTATTATCAGACTGATAATATTAAGATTTACAAATGCCCTGTTGAAAATTTTTAATTTGGGGAGAGACAAATTTTTATCCCCTCCACTCCAATGTCAAAAAACAGCATTCACAAATTGCCTTATTTGGCCTCGTCAAATTTTGACAAATAAAGACTACTCAATTTCACGGAACCAATGAATCAAAAAAAAAAAATATATATATATCATTTGGACACTTGATTCAAGCTTATCTTATCAAAACAACATAGTTTTTTCACTTCTCCACTGGATATCATGGATTGCATTTTTCCTCTTAATATTTTTTTTTTTTTTTTACAAAACTGCTATTATATTCAAACTGTATTTCAATTTTTCAAATACAGTAAAGCACAGATTCCAATAGTCCAATCCACACTTCACAAAAACTGTGTCCCTTTGTGGGGTCAACTGAAAGGTCAAAAGGAAAAGAAACGATATATCTCTTCTTTATGCTACCAAAAATTTGGGAGAGATAATAATAGAGAAAATAACTTTTTTATTTTAGTGTAGTCTACTTGTGGACCAAGTTATATGGAAATTGGGACCAAAACTATAGGAGGAGTAGCATTTTGAACAAGAGGCTCATGGGCCACAATGCTAACCTGAGTCACTTTGGTCCTGCTGTTCTGCGTTTGATTTTTCCCCAACATACATTTACTCCTCTGTATTATTGCATGGCCTTTTGTGGCCTCATTCTATACTCAGGGACTATGATCTGAACAAAAATGGATCTACACTACCAGAGGATGCTTCCACATTAATATGATTCATCATGGATTTTAGGAGTTTCAAAGATTTTTCCCTATATAATCCCTATTATGGCCCCACCCTAATCCCGTGGGCCGTGATTTGAACAATTTATGATCTACACTACCTAACAAAGCTTCCACGTAAGTTTCAGCTTTTCTGGTCCAATGATTCTTGAGAAGAAGATTTTTTTTATGAGCCCACCCTATTTTTGCCTTTTCTTGATTATCTCCCCTTGGAAGGGGATATGGTCCTTCCTTTCAATAATTTAGAATCTCTTTTATCAAGGGATGCTTTGTACCAATTTTGGTAAAAATTAGTCCAGTGGTTCTTGAGAAGAAGTTGAAAATGTGAGTTTACAGACAGACAGACAGCTGAGCTAAAAATTATTTACAAACAAACATACAGCTAAACAGACTGCTGGGTGGACTATTGACACCTTATTATCCCATAAGCTCTTTTAGTCTCTGACCAGTAGAGCTAAAAATGCAATTTTTTGCTAAATTATTTTAGCCCCAATGGTTATCTTATGTATCTAAATACTTTCCATCCATATTAAATCTTTTTGCTTTGTTCTAGTTCTCTGATTCCAAATTTCTTTTGATTAAATTTGCTGTTTTAAAATGTACTTCTAATGTACACCTAAGATTATATCAAAAGTAAGCTGCATGCTCTGTACCTATTTTCAAACTGTGAAAAATATTTAAAAATATATATATTAAATCCCCCATCCTCACATTCTTTCCTTTCTCACTTGTTGGAATGTGTCATTCTGCGTCTTCAACCAGCCTAGCCAATAATTTGTGAGTGCAAATCTCTGTGAAAGAACATTTATATGTTAAATCTTATAGAGTAATTCTATGTCAAAATATTCCTTCAAGAATTTTAATTATCTTTGTTATTAATTATGCACCTACATAGGTCAATATTAAAAGTTGGGTCAACATCACAAATTATTAGCAAAGATGAGATATACTCTCTCCAGCGTATAAGTAACCCTTATGGCTCATGGTAATTGAGAAAATGAGCTAAATTCAGTTTACTTGTACACAGTGAAATCTATCTATGAACATACAAAGTAATCCTTCACAATATTCAGGAAATGACCTAAATGAAAAGCTGTTTGAAAAGTTTGCAGACAGTGTCAATCTTTGTTGTAATATATGCAAGCAATTCAAGATCAGCACATTATCATCATATGTGAAATACTTAACAACACTGGGGTTTCCAAATTTAATCTATATGTATTTATGAAGACATGTATAGGAATTCCTTCCTGTCAAGGTAACAGGAAGTTGAGTGAAGTCATTTCATATAAATGAGATTTATTATAAATGATCAAACAAGAAGCCCTATGGCCTGGGCAGTCTTCACAATTTTCTCCGACTATGACATACTTGATCCCTCCTAGGACTGGAAATCTGATCTAGCTGTTTGACATGAAGTTCCAAAAATTGGTTGTGGAACTTTTTCTTCATGAAACTGCATGAAGTTTGCCCCCTTTAAAACTTTTAAGAGATATATAATACATTTTCAGTATAAGACCAAATTATCCCCACTCGGGGGCCTAAGTCTGGGATTAAACATAATAAGACATTATACTGTGTTCTTTGAATTTGTCTTGTTGAAATTCGCTCAATTGTGAGTAGGGCAAAAGGGGCAAAAATAAAACAGGGGCAAAAATTTCCCTGTATACAGTAATAATAAATAATCCATTTAATGTCTGATGACACATTGCTCAAATATCTGTGTTGTACCTCTTCATAATATACAACAAATTTATCATAATTATCTTTATTTTGTGATTTTTACACTGTTTTCAAAATGTCAAAGTAGATAACATCGTTGCAAACCACGGCCAAAATGTACGATCCTCTCCCATTCTGGCCGTGGTTGAATGAGAAGAAAATATTTCGTAGTTCATTAAAATATTGACCAATGCAAGTAAAGCATATATAGTCGGATAGTGAACTTTGATGAGACCTTTCAATACCCAATCACAGTATACGAAACATTTCTTGTATACTGTTGATGTCAATTGTTGATTTCAATTGCGATGGAAACAAATACTGCCATTGGCTGAACATGACATCACAATACAGAGGCGTAAATATTCAAGATTACGACACTTTTTATGATCAAACAGCCATGGGTAGGAGAGAGCTTTATGCAGAGTCTCCGGACCATGGCTTGAGACAATGAGTTCCGGTAGATAAAGACACCAAAAAATTATGATATGGGCAATGTTAGAGATTTCCAAAAAGGATTTTATAGTAAATAACATCCTCTGGTATCTTGCATAAATGCCTGGTATTAGGTACCTTAATTTTTTGTGAGGAAACTTTTTAAAGTAGCAATACTTCAATGACAAATTCTTGGAAAAAATTATATTTTTGAGGAACATGTCATCTGACCTTAAGAACTATCTAAATTTATAATACAGTTGAACTTTGTTTTCTCTAACACCAATATTTCAAATATCTGGGATATGTTGAAGTGATCTGGCAGTCCCAACCACTTTTCCTTTATGTTTTTTTAATCTAGTTATCTCAGATCCTTGCATATCTTGAAGTTTAATCCCGGTCCCATTGAATTCGAGATAACAAAGTTTGACAGTATTCACATCCACTAAGCCTGTCCAAAGTTAATTCTATGTTTAACGTAACCTGCTCGTATAGGTTTCAGAGAAATTGGCACTTTGAAAAAACAAATTGATGTTTTTAAATGTTTCTTTTCCAGTTGTCTTTACTTTTACCACCTGAAAACTGCATTCCGTAGAGAAAGACAACATTTCGGTCTTCTGTGAGGTACATTTGAGCTGAGTCTATCATTTAAACTGATAGATTTACTGAAAATGATCATTAAACAATAAGCCTGCATGATGTACAATTATTGACAGTATTTTAATTCATGTAGATGAGTTTGATACTCATTTGTTTGAAATTTTTGTTTAATTTTTTTTCTCCCTCCCTTGTCAGTTTTGAAATTTATAGGCGACATTAAATGAAGAATTAATTTCAGCAGCCTCTTATGTCCTATATTTCTTATGAAAACCACAGTCATTTATCAATTCATAAACGCCATTAACTGGTTTTTCAAGCCACCTGTGTAGATTTCTTGTGCAGTATATGTGCTGCTCAATCAATGAAAAATACAATGGATTCAATATTAACCTATGATTATTTATACAGACATAAATTTAAACAATAAATGTCTTTCTTATTTCTTTAATAAAGGAATAAACAGTTGCAGCTATTGCAGAAAAAGTTACATAAACCGCTTACTCAGGTTATGTATTTTCTGCAACAGCTGCAACATTAATTCCCATACTAACAACCAAAGAAAGCATTTTATTGTTTATTAAGTAAATATTCTCTTTAATTCCTCAAGTCCTTAAAAATTTTAATATTAAAAAAAAAAACATGTAAAACAGTTTATTTATATACAGTAAGCATAACTGTCTACTGAAATTCAACTACAAGAACAAACAAACATCACGACTGTGAAATCTACGTGATATTGGACGTAATCCTTCTCTTTGTTTCGTCTTGTGTGAGGACATGTGGGCAATATGAGTGGTCTAGATGCGTAGTTATATTGGTGTGAAATCACCTCCTTAATTCTCTATCATGGTCATAATCTTAGGTTTCAATCCAAATCAAGTTCTAAGCTTCATTCATAAAAAATAAGTACCCATGTTTTACCCTTATTGCAGTACTCCTTACCTACGCATTCTTGTTATTTAATTTTTTCCATTGACTTCTAGCACCAATGCTATGCAGTCAATGAGTCATATGACTGTCAAAAATTTAACAAGATTATTTTTTTTATTTTCATATTGTGCTAAAATGCCCCCTCCCCCCAAAAAGAAATAGACATTGAAATTTTTTCCAGTGCTTAAATTGTAAAGGATCTTTACAACCCTTGGATTCTTTCTAAGTTAATAAAATAGCAATTGTCCTGTTACAAAACAAAGAACACTAGCTACAAACTAACTTATGACATAGACACAGACTTATCACATAGATAGTCTACACTAGCTATAATCTGACATATGTAATGACACAGACCACACTAGCTATAATCTGACATATGTAATGACACAGCTATAATCTGACTTATGATATGTAATGACACAGACCACACTAGCTATAATCTGACTTATGATATGTAGTGACACAGACCACACTAGCTATAATCTGACTTATGATATGTAATGACACACTAGCTATAATCTGACACAGACAGAGCACACTAGCTTTAATTTGACTTATGATATGTAATGACACAGACAGAGCACACTAGCTTTAATTTGACTTATGATATGTAATGACACAGACAGACCACACTAGCCATAATTTGACTTATGATATGTAATGACACAGACAGAGCATACTAGCTATGATTTGACTTATGATATGTAATGACACAGACAGAGCACACTAGCTATAATTTGACTTATGATATGTAATGACACAGACAGACCACACTAGCCATAATTTGACTTATGATATGTAATGACACAGACACTTCAGCTATAATTTGACTTATGATATGTAATGACGCAGAGATCACACTAGCTATAATTTGACTTATGATATGTAATGACACAGACAGAGCACACTAGCTATAATTTGACTTATGATATGTAATGACACAGACACTTCAGCTATAATTTGACTTATGATATGTAATAACACAGACCACACTAGCTTTAATTTGACTTATGATATGTAATGACACAGCTAGACCACACTAGCTTTAATTTGACTTACAATGTCCAGTAACATAGACAGATGGCCCAGTAACAGTTGTCCCTCTCTCTGAGGTTCTGTGACAGAGAACTGGAAAACATCCCCCCACTTGTCAGCCACCAAGATATTCTGTTCATCTTGAGTGAAGGTTAAAACTGTGCATCTTCTTGATATGGCTCTGTCAATAGAACACAAAACACATCAAAGTTCTACCATTTCTAAAACTAAATGTAATCAAAAGTTAACTGTTTTTGTCTTTTTAGAATTCCTAAGGAAATTAAACATTAAACAAATCTGAATGAAGTTGAATATGTGCACATTAAAACATAATATCAGATATTGTATCTGATTTTGAAAAAAAAATTGTATTTAAACAATCCTTATTTGAAAGTCTACAGGCCACAAATGCAACCACCACAGTAACATTCTCATTTCCTAAAAGACCTTACTGTCATCCCTCCAGGTTCACTTTTACAGGTAGCTATCACCAAGGTAACCATATATAGGTGCATTTTTATTTAAAGGGCCTTACTTTACAATTGAGAAATTCTCTGTTTTTTCAAAAGAAATAAACAGCATAACTTTGTTAATGTGTTGAAATTCTGCAATTCAGTATTTAACGTTTTCATTTCCACAGTCTCTCCTAATGTGTCCTGACTACGGAAATACAATCAGTCATGTGTGTCTGTATGCTTTCCATGGAATGAAATAGGAAGACTAACCTTAATTCATCATTTGTGAGAAACTTAATCAAAATATCACAAATTAAAGTAATCAAACAACTATTACCTTGTTTTTCAGTGCTGCTGAAAATGGTACAGGTATTAAATGGAGGCAGCTTTTTGAAATGTGCATAGTTATGAAAAACACTTGACATTAATTGAACATTTGAAAAAATTTCATTGCTGAAGTAATCTTACTTCTAACGTGCATAGGAGTTGTAACGGAAATTAACAAGATGGTTACAATTTACGTGAGAATAATTTGGCAGGTCTTCATAGTGTTAATACTTTCAATGAAAAAATATAATTAACAGAATTTTAAAGTTTGCACTAAATTCCATGGAAATCTAAGCATTTAAAAAGGGGGTAATTTAGTCGGGCCATTAAGCAGTCTTTTGGCTTGTAAGCATCAAATGAGCTAGAACCAGCCATTTTAGTTAATTTTTACAACTCTGCTATATCAAGTTGGAACACAAAGTAGCAAGCCCTCTCTTTCATCTTAGAAATGATTATGCGGACTTCTTACACTACTTAAAAGGGCAAAAATGGGCAAAACTTTCATTGTGACAAATTTACGACAAAAAGCATCCTTTTTACATCCTGTTAAAAGTCCCCCGACTTTAAGGCATAATAGGCGAGACCAAATTAGTCCTAATTCCTGGGTGGTTGGAGTAAATTGGAATATAATCAGGTTGTAAATGGACTCCTTAAATCTTTCCGTCAACTAGTTCCCTTTGCTCTGACAGGTCAAATTGGCAGAGAAATACGCAATTAACACTAATGAGGTAGTTGGTGGGACTGATTAACTTATCTGAAGGTAGATTTGTTTGAAATATGATAAATGAATGTTTTTCAGGAGATCAGTAATGTCTCATCTCTTGCACATTTAGAAGATAACACCTCCCAAATAATGCACAACCTTGCACTATTTTTCAAAAGGTGCTTTGAAAAAATAAATAACTTCCTATGTGGTATGGAGTCACAATACAAAAGATGGCAAGTATTCAGAAGTCTTAATAACATCAATGAAATTTGTAATGAAATGAAATTTATTAAATAAGCCAAATTTTTGAAAAGTACATGTCAATCATTGAAAAATTGTTATCATAAAGTTTTCAAATGAATTCTTTTCTAATTGTATTATAATCAACACTGGTGCTTTGTGAATATGTGAATGGAAATTTTTCCTCCCACCATGTCCATAAAAGCAGAGTACTCTATTCTAACCCCTCCCCCCCCCCCCAAAAAAAAATAATTTCTCATTTGCATTTTCTTTGGAGGTTGTCCCTCTTGTACTTAAAGAGCATTAGCATTAGGTACAATAAACACTCTAGAAAGAAAAATGTACATTATTCTCCTAGAAATTTGCTTAACAAATAGAATTAAAAATCATGCTTTTTTCCACCTTGCAATGCAATACATCGAAACCCTCAAATTCCAAATATACAGCTACAACACGAAATTGCTTACTTTTCAATTAAAAACTCTCACAGAAAAGTCCAAATTGTAATCTTTTTACCTGGCATTAAGTTAAGAGTACCATTTATACAAATGTATTAATTCTCAAGTAATACCAATTGCAAGGTCAACATTTTCTGAAGCAACTCACTTACAGTTTAATGTAATATATAATCAAACACAATTTTTTTTTTTTTATAAATATGCTTTGATATGTAAATTAAATAAGCTGAAGTGCCCATGAAGTTACTACTATGAATTCGTGTAAAATGGTTAAATAAAGGTTACATAATGAATAGCTTCCCTCTTTGCCTAATTGTTTTCTGGGAATCTTCAGCAAGTAACAATTTATTACCTAGCTTTTACATTGAAAATCAATCAATAATTTAAAAATCAATTTCTGTTCTGTGTGTTTAGATTCACTACAATGAAGGTACATACTTGTACATGTATATTAACATTGTTTACATTAAAATTTTATTTACAGTGTATGATGACACACATACAGTAAATTATTGCATAATTATAACAAATGCAGATCTTGTCTCCAAACTGGATCTTTGGAGCTAAAGGAGAAACAAGCTGTAAGAAAAATTTCAAATGTTACAACTTTCTTATTAACAAATTTCAAAATTTTCATTAACAAAGAAATCAAATGTTCAGAAAAAGCACTCAATAAAAGAAAATATTCTCTGTAAGTTTATTTACATCACGAAAAAAAGATGAACCCATTAATTGTTCAGTGGCATTGCCATTTTTGAGTTCTACATCAAATAGCTATATACTGTCTGCCAGTCCATTTCCACCATCTGCCTGGTCTCAACAACAATAAGCTAGTTTGATTGTCCTGAGACTAGAGATTGTGTAATAACAAATGACCCATTATATTCCCACACCATTGTATAACTGTCTCATTAACCATATATTTACTCATTCTTTTATAGGTCCCCCATTTACAGTTGATTGTATTGTGAGTTCCATTAGCCGCAGAACACTTTTGGGAGGCTGAAGACTACAAATTTCATTACACCTGTGAAACAATTAACTAATCCTGTCACTTAAAATTAACAGACAAATGGCTACAAAGCTTGTGGCAGGAAAAGAAAACTTCAGTCTAATGTTAACAAAATTAAGATATCTGTGACTAGATGGATAGAAGATTCTGAAAAAAAGTTTTGAAATGAACTTTGACCTTTTGCAACATCACAGTAAATAAAGTTAGACAATTAAAAAAAAAATTTTTTTTAAATCAACTCTCACTTCTTTTTTTATGAGGAGAAACAATCTTATTTGTAACTTTGAGAGAAATCCCACATTTATTTCATGCTAAAATAAATTAAAAGATGCACATACTATTCTTCAGTAGTATGTGTATTGTTCATTATGTCAAATGAATACCCATATTTTTAACATTATAAAACATATCTATGGCAAACACATGCTGACCATCAAAATAATTTTGCTATCATTCTTAGAATTTCAGTAATTTGTACATTTTGGACAATAGTAATTTAGCACTTGAAAAATAGAACTGATTTATCTGTCAAGTTACTATAACTGCATTTGATCTTCAAGAAAAAAGATTTGCCATCATTTTATCATTATGGATTCAAGCTGAATCACAGATGGCAGCATTTAGAAAATGTATTTATCAACTACCTATGGCCCTTTTCAATAAAAAAATCTTAAAATTAAGATTAAAATTAGACAGCTCTGTAATTTCTTTGTTTGATAAAGATAATAGTTTTTCCAAAGATTTGTTCACAATATACAAAATGATATTCTTACATAATAGAAATATAATTTTTTTGTGACCTATTTTTTTGGGAAAACTGGAACATTTTGCCTTAGTCATAAGACATTTTGCGAAAAAAGATCCACTGGTTATTATTCAATGATTAGTTTTACCCTTCCTAAATTGATTGTGTTGATTCGTTTTGAACAGTCATCATTTCTTGTCTTATGTCCAGTATCTCATGAAACAAACTTAGACTCAACTCAAAGTAAGAAATCAAGTCCACTATCTCATGAAACAAACTTAGACTCAACTCAAAGTAAGAAATCAAGTCCACTATCTCATGAAACAAACTTAGACTCAACTCAAAGTAAGAAATCAAGTCCACTATCTCATGAAGCAAACTTAGACTCAACTCAAAGTAAGAAATCAAGTCCACTATCTCATGAAACAAACTTAGACTCAACTCAAAGTAAGAAATCAAGTCCACTATCTCATGAAGCAAACTTAGACTCAACTCAAAGTAAGAAATCAAGTCCACTATCTCATGAAGCAAACTTAGACTCAACTCAAAGTAAGAAATCAAGTCCACTATCTCATGAAACAAACTTAGACTCAACTCAAAGTAAGAAATCATTTAGTCCACTTTCTCATGGAACAAACTTAGACTCAACTCAAAGTAAGAAATCAAGTCCACTTTCTCATGAAGCAAACATAGACTCAACTCTAAGTAAGAAATCAATTTCAAGATGCTAATTAATGTATAATGAAAATCAAATTTTTATCTAAAATCTTATGAGAAAAATACTTTAAAAGGCTTTTTAATTATTTCATCTAAGATTCTGGCAAAACTTTGAAAAAGAAAATCTCATTCTGTGGAGAGTTTTTTCTAAAATTAATCTTGTAGATAATTAATTGAAAGGGAAATACTAATTTTGATCTTGTTTAAAATCTATAAAAATAGGACCTTTTGTTGTCTTTTCATTATTATCTAAATATAACTCAATTTATGCAACATTATCTTTAAAGAAATATATATATGTAGGCCCCAGTATGTCATGCATGCAATAATATTATTAACTATTTCCTCCAAAGCAACTTGTATAAAATGAATTTATTTTAAAAATTCATAATATTTAATTTCAATGAAATCATAAACAATGCATTAGAGAGCTAAATTATTCACCATAAAATGAATCCCATACTGATGACTAGGTTTGAAAGACAAAGACATTGTTATCTGCAATCATAACTGTAAGCAAG